CTAACACCTTGAATGGCAGCTCAGAAGATTGTTCACCTGAACTAGGGATGAGCCATCCTAGAATTGTGGGACAAAATTGGTCATGAAATGTCTCTCAAAATATTGGTTGAACTTAGGACCAAGGGTGAGCACTGTGAATGAAAATACTACAATGTGAATGAAAATACTGCAACCATGTCAGTAAACAAAGAATGCTGAAACCAAGTAATCAGTGGCTGCTGCCACCCCTCAGCGAGGACATGCCTGCAGCCCAGCCTCTCAGCCACTCACAGTGGTGCCCTCTGAGTGGACTCAGAATAAGAAAGGACAGGATACTGGCCCTAGAATGCTAGGTGCTTGCTTGTCAAAGGAATAAATTCAATGACCCAAATGTTTGCTTCCTCCCATAAATAGAAAAGCACTAAATTCTTGAACTTGAGATATCTGGCTTTCTTAAGATAACAAGCAATCTTTTATTGTTCCAACTACCTGATCTTTTTTGTAAAGCTCCTATATATCCTATCTCCTCCCATACCTCTTGGGAGCAGTCCCTCAGAGTGATCTGAGAGGCTGTAATCCCAGCTCGAGTCCTCCCGCCAAATAAAACATAACTCTTAACTTTAGGCTGAATGTTTATTTCAATCAAGTCCCAGAATAGACACAACTCATCAATTCTGTAATGGAACACACTGGATCAGGAACCAAAAGCGTGTTCTAGTCCCAAAAAATTATGGGTCCCTCATTCTTCCTGTCATTATACAATCCCACCAGAAATTATTACTTTGCTGTCTGCTTATCTAGCAACCAATGTCAGAGAAGAGTCAACTCAGCAAAGTGCCCTACTGGGGAGAAAACCCTGCAGCAGCACTGTGGGCTGCCTGCCCTCCCACACGCTCTGCTGACCCCTAGTGTCCTCCGTGGAGACCAGGCCAACAGAGCTGTTCCCAACAGCTGGGAAGTCCCACACATTACATAAAAGCATTTTATTCTTTACGATATGTTATATATATATATACCGACCTCTGAAAACAGCTTTGTCAGAAACCCAAACCTTCAACATTAATCTGCAAAGGCAATTCCAGTCCCCAAGGGAAAGCAAGTCTTAAGACGATGCCAGGGCCTCCAAAGTCCTCTCCAAGATGACAGTCAACCAAACTTCCTGCAGGCCTGCAGCTGCAGGAGTCTACATGTCTGTTTTTAAAGCACCTCCCTCCTGCCCTTGGGTGCTACAATGTCCCTCTACGCCCTCCCATCTCAGGGTAAGAGCAGCTGCTGCAGAACCTTGCAGGGCAGCACTGATAGGACTGGACACAGAGGATCAGAGCTAAACTAAGCCTTCTGATGACACGAGCTTGTCACTGTGTCACTTTACAGATGAAGATATATAGACAGAGGTGGGGCGATCTTGCTCAAAGTCAGACAGCTAATACGTGGCATATTGTATAACTCTTCTCCTCCCTCTGGCATGATGCACCAGCTGGGACGCCCACAGGATTCTCTCGTGCCTATCTGAACAGTCCTTGACTGTCACTCATGACCCACCACAGGGTCTGTCCGCAGCCTGCTTTTCATCATGTTTTCCCTCCAGTTTCTCAGGAACAAGGCTGCTCCGGCCACTATATGACTTCCGGCTCCCCGAACCCTCTGTGCTCAGGCCAGTCATGCCTGTGCATCCGGCCCCCTGCTCAGAGGCTCTTCCATCCCTGCAGGTGGATTTTTCCACTCTCCACAGGGACACCCCCTCAGGGGAGCCCTCCTCTTGCCCTCAGCTTGGCAGGTGTCCCAGGCCACATCCCGAGCTGCTGCATTAAGACTGCTTGTGCCCAGCTCTGCTAGTCAGATCAGCAGCTTCAGAGTCCGGGGTTATGCCCGGGTCACCCGGCAGACCTACTGCCCATCTCCCAGCCCCTACCCAGCAGGTCACCAGGAAGTCACAGTAGGTGCCCCACCCAATCCAGAAGGCTGTTCACTTGCCAGCACCTCTGATGAGTGGTTTCCAACCTTTGATCAGTTTCACACAAAACAGCAACTTTCACTTTGAAGTGGGGGGTTTTCCCTTCTGCTGTCCATCCTTACCGGAAACATCAAGGGAAACCAAAAGGCCTTTTCTCTACACTTTTCTGATGACACATTTCCACCCACAATACTCATGCTCAAGGAGTTTGGGTCCACGTGGTTTTGTTTCCCTTACGCTAAGTGGCTCAAAAGACTATGGGATTCTTTCTCTTTTGAGGGTATTTATACTCAGTTTATCGGCTTTAATCAGTTTTTGTCTCTGTCTTCAGTGTCCCTGGCAGTTGCCACTTCTCACTCCCTAGAGCAGCCTCCCTCCCAACTTCTAATCTAGGAAATCAGCTGTGGTGAGGGTCCCAGGGGCAGTCACAGAAGATGGAACTAAGGCACAGAGAGGCTACATAACTTGCCCAAGGAGATCAGCCTCAACCCCCAACAATGTGTGTCACATCCCTCTGTTTAACTCTTATGCTAAACTAGTTAACTTTTAATAGATTATAGTTATAAACAGATGAGGTATCAAAATACATACAAGGACACACATCAACTCTAAGATGTTCATTAACTTCACTATTTTGCTTCTATTTATTTTATTTCTATTAAAAGAACTAAGAACCTCTGCAGTCAATATAGCAAAATGTTAGTGGGTTTTAAATCCAGAATATACAGGCGTAAATGTATTACTCACACTTTTTTGTATATTCACAAGACAAAATGATATGAAGGTCTCTCTCCCCTCCCCCTTACTCACTACTGGCTCTCACCTGAGCTCCCAGACCACACATCTAACAGCCTTCATTTTACCCACAGCTGAACTCATCAGTTTTCCCCCAGAACTCCCTCTGCAGCTTTCCCTCCTCAGAGCACAGCAGGACCATCATTTACCTTATTAATCCACCCAGAAACCCTGGCCTTACTCCATCCTACCCTCACAGACATATTTCATCCTTTCATTTTACCATCTAACATGTCTTCAATCTGTTCACTTTTTCCCACTGACCATCCCACCACTCAAGTTGAAGCCACCAATACTGCCCACATGGACTCATGTGTCTCCCAGTGGCCACCCCAGCTGCTCTTACCTACTTGAGACAAATGGGATTCTGTCACTCCTGTGCTTTTAAGACTCTTTTCAAACCCACTCTTCTTAGAAGAAACTCCAAATTCTTCACCTAGTGAAGGTCTTTGCCATGAAACTATCAGCTCAGGGATGGCAGGACCCACCCTCTCCCCTTGGCCCCACCCTTTCCCCCTGTCCCACCCTTTCACCTCATCCCCACCCTCTGGCAAAATGCCAGGTCGGGAGGACTGCCGAGCTACACCAGACTGTATTCTAACCCTGGTCTTGAGTTCTTAGCAAACTGCTACACTTATCCATACAAATCCAAGTTAGATTAGAAAGATTTTAGATATTTAGCTAGACTTTTGATTTGGGGATTCTAAACTAGCAGCCTGCAAGTACATGTTCTAATATTTCTGTCTTCTAAAAACCACACCCAGATTTAATTAGTATCTGTGGAATGCCTTCAGAATAAAAGGAACTGTACTATCACAGACTTTATGTTTTATAATATGAAAAACCTGGACAGTGTCACAAATGGAACCGCCTAAAAAGTGACAGAAGACGGGTTAGAGGCATAAAGCAACAGGTCACAAGGAAGGTAAGAGCAAAGTTGTTTCTCCAAACCCTCCCTAAAATCCTAAAAGAACTGAAAATTCTGAATTTTGAAAGTAAAATACTATCTTATAAAGAAATAAAATAATCCTCTTCATCAGGGTTTCAAGATCTGACTCCAGAATTTTTAGCATGCCATACTGAATACTAGCACAGAAACATCAGATGGACTAGTGATGAGTAAGTTCCAGGAAAATGGCAGTAATTCCTCCACTTGTAAGAGGACACACACTCACTTGTCGAAGGTGATTGTAAACCACATTCTGGAGAAATACAGAAGAATCAGGATCTGCTTCTAGATGGTGAGGACATGGAAGGACGGCTTGTATGCATGCTTCTAACTGAGTCACCAGCATTCTTACACTGCAGGGGGAAAGGAGGCCCCCAGTCAAGAGCAGAGATGTTCCTGTCATGTCTTGAAGGCCGTGCCTCGGGGACTCAGTGTCCTGTAGCTGTCCGGCCCCAGGCGAGGACCCGCAGCATGGTCCACCCAAGCAGGAGGGGCACTGGGCTTGAGAAAACCCACCCCTGATGGGGGCAAGAGGGGCTGGTGGGGTTGAGTGAACCTATAAATGTCCACAGAAATACACCTGCATTCATTCAAGTGATACAACCAACAGTAGCAGGCTATTTTACAAAATTTCAATTGTCAGTGGAAATTTTACCATTTCTTTTCGCTTGTCCCCTGCACTCTAAGACAGGCTTAGGCTCTCTCACACCTGCAGCTCTGTGCATTAGTTGTGAAGTCAGTTTAGTTTGCTGTGATAGTCATCGCTCCCCGTGTCACTGTGTCTGTCCTCTCTTAACACAGTCAGATGTCTTCCTGGATCTCTCCCTGAGTTCCTTGCTCTTGATCCTCAGATCCTGAGATAAAGGGCAAGTGAAGACACATGACCATAAAAGGCACTGTGGACTTGACCAAAGTCCTCAGTGACCCCTAGGTGAGTGCTGCCCACCCCTCAACTTCAGTTCTCAAGGTTCTGCCCAGGGTGACATCCAACCAGGAGAGTGGCCCAGGCCAATTAAAAACTGTGTGGCTTGGGTGCGGGGACAGGTGCAGGAGTTGTTTCTGGAGCCAGGCCCCTCCCCACCTCTGCTCCCCTCTCTCCCTAGGCCCCACTGGCAAGCCCCTAGTCTCCCTGATCTTCTGCATTTCTCTTCTACTCTACTCCAAACCCTTTTCCTCTTCCTTTATTCCCTAATTGTCCCCAGCTGGAGTGATTTTTCAACCACAGTATCTGAGAAAATTTCCTGTAGCCGAAAAAGAGGTCTCCAGAGGTCAATGCCCATATGCTGGTCCCTGAATAGAGCCCCAGGCTGGGGGGACTTTCACCAACACTCCTGTGGGCATTAGACGTGTTGTGGGGTCAACCACCCTCAACAGGAGTTTGCTGTGACCCCAAGGCACGCACAGCATCCCTGCTCACAATAATATAGTCAGCCCACTTATCGGTTATCAAGAAGCAAATATACAAAATGGCTTATGTTTTTTACTAAAATTACTTATGAGATGGAAAAAGAAATCGTAATTGGAAAGAAGAAATCTGACTCCGTGTTAGATCTGTTCCTTTGGCTTTAACCCTGTGCCCTGTTTTCTAAGCTCAGACTTGCTAGCTCTGCACCTTTTGTGAAAGAAAGTTGCCTTTAGCATGAAATATACAGGAAAGCCTACTCTCTGGGCTCTGATATTTAAGGATGTTAGCTCTTCTGCACTTATGTAGAGAGTTTCAAGTTGCAAAATAGAGAATAATCTTTGTTTTGTTGTAGGTTTTACAGGGGCACAATGATTTGAACCATATGGACAGCTGCAAGAATGAAGGATAACAAGGACAAACAATTCGTACAGCAAGAAGTTTGCAACAACCAACCACACTCCCTCCCCTTTTCAATATAAAACGAGCCTGAATTCTGACTTGGGTAAGAGAGTTCTCCCGGACATCAGTCTGACATCTTCTGGGTCTGCCAGCTTTTCAAATAAACCCACTATTCCTTGCCCCAACATCTCATCTCCCAATTTATTGGCCTGTCATGTGGCAAGCAGAATGAATTTGGACTCGGTAACAAAATACATTGGAGGTAGTATGTCTCCACTGCTTCCTCATTTCCAATATGTAGCATGCACATCATTTATGATCTACTGTAAATAATTCATCAAAGACAACAATAACAAGAAAATCACCTAGGTATCAACACTGAAGTCACAACCTATTAATTTTACATGCCGTTTAACAACAAAACCAAAAACTTATTATAGAGACTTGATTTCATGGAAATAAAATTATTTCTAGTCCTTCAAAACTTTCATTCTTTTCTATTTTCTTTTGTTTTGCTTATTGAAAGGAAAATAAAAATCAAATCATTTTATTTCACGTATTTTTGTTATAACTACATATTTTAAATACTACCAAGAAATTTAAATTGCAACAAAAATGTTCATATATTAGTACAAATATACATACAATCAATGGGGATTAGGAAAAGAACGGATATTTACTAAAAATCCACTGCACATCCAGTCTTTTAAAAGCATATCCTGGAATATAAGCTCTATAATCCAGGGGTCCCCCACCCCCATTCTCGTTGCCAACTCCCTTAGTAATCAACTACCAAGGCACCAGCATAGAACCACACTATCATTATTTAAGGTATAAATGAGGGAATTAACTCATTCAATTCTAAAACAAAAACCCTAAAATAAATACTGAACTTATTTACAGATAAAGAAAATAGGACACAAAAAAGTAAACTTTCTTCCTCAAGGCCACAAAGCTAGTAACTGGTAAAGGCAAGATTTGAACTTGTCTGCCTGATTCTAAAAACCAAGGTGGAAATTCCATTCCACTTGTGATGGTACAGCAGCACAGCCTATCACCCTATCTTTGTTCAGATCTAGCCTTAGACAGCCTGAGACAGCACCCCATTCTTATGGACCTAGAGGGCAAATGATAAAAATAAGGATTTTTATATCCAGTAGTTTTCTTAGGTTTCATTTACATAAAGTGTCAGCAGGTCAGCAGAAAAACTCTGGGAAATGTGAGTGGATCCAGAGCTTTTTGCTGATAAGAAACTCAATTTATCAGGACAGAGTGACCTTCCCATGAGAGGCCACATGGACATAAACTAAAGGCAGCTGAGTAATGAAAAGTATCAAGACCCTGGAACTCAAGCAAGAAGGATCCCTGCCATCCCACACCCAGCTGCCTCTTCACCTGCGTGGACACGATGGCAGAAGACCCAGGTTCTTGCCACGTTACACTATCATGGATTCTCACCCATAAAAAGTTACGACTCTATGCTGTCTTAAGACATTTCCAACTCAAATATGAAGACTCCGATGTCTCAGCAGAATCTCTATGCCTCCAATTCCTCTCTTCTAATAGGAGAATAATTCTATGGCCACAGAGAAATCCAATAAAAAACCATGCATGGAGCCAGGAGAAAGTCTGATTAAGAGACTTCGCTCTCATGCTCAGTGAATGAAAACTCAGAAAAAGTGGTCCTTCTCCCTCAGCAAGTGAGAGGTAACCTGACGTGTATGTGTGTGTTTGTGTGTGTGTAAATCAAATACAGTCAAGTCTGGGAATTGAACAGATTTTTTTTATGTCACTGTCATTTCAAGTGGATGAGCCAACCTTTAAAGTTATTTGAATCTAGTGTTCTGAGAGAGTCTTAGTCTCTTTTGGTGGAGGAAGTGAAAGAAAACGAGGAAAGAGGTAAATGAAGCAAAGGAGTAAGTGTACTGCTAGAGAAAGGTAAAACATTAATTTTGTTCCTACTTGCTTCACATACAAATTAGGAACTGGCTTCCCCTGATGACTTGTTGAGCACTGAGTTGCAGAAGAAATGGCAGCCTATTTCTCACTGAGCTTGTGACTGTACATGGCATCTTATAGACACAAATCATTTACCCTGAACAAACACTCTAGCAGCAGGTTGTAATTCTCCTGTTTTGAGAGACAAGAAAACAGGAGTTCAAAGAGGGTATATAACCTGACAAAAGTCAACGGACCAGTAAGAAAGAGAGGATGAATTCAAACTCAGATCTGAATGTAGAGTCTGAACTTCCCATTTCCAAGACTGGAAAATCCTTAACACACAGGCTTCCCAGATTCCCTGCAGTGTTCCTGGCACCAAGCATTTCCCATGGCAGTGGCCTCCAGTTCTCACAGACACAGCACACTGTGCAGCCAATGACCTCCATCGGACCTTGATCATCTACCTGCCACGCCCACCAGGCTTCACAATAAAGGCAGGAAAGCTGGCTTTCAAGTGCATAAAAAGCCACCCCTGGATTAACCTGGGTTTTTGTGGGGCTTCTCCAGGCTAAAGGCAGCCATGGAACTGCTCACAGTTTGTACATAAGCCACACTACCTCTCTCCTTCTGTCTCCCCACCTGTACTGCTTAGTTATGACCATTTTGATAATATTGGAAACATATTTTTAAAAACAGAATTGAAAGGATTCTGGAACAAGTACTTGATATTTCCAAATTTAAATGACAAGTTACAAAGTGAGTATTTACAAATCAAATCTGCCTTTCTAGGTGTCAGTTTTAAGCAGTCATAAAATACAATAGCAAACAATTCTCACAAAATTAACAAAAACATAAACAATAATCTGGAATAAACTCAAAAATTATGCCCATGTTCTAAATGAAGAAAACTACAGGACTGTACTGAATGGTAAACTAAGAGGTGTAAATGTAGAGACATCAACATATTGCATGGAGGAAAGCAGTTTTTAAAGATATAAGTTCTCCTAAATATAATTCAAAACTTACTAAAAAATCCCATCAAAATTCTTATCTGATGTTTTTTCAACTTGAGCAAAATATTTTTGAATTCTTCAGGAATAATAAAGTGATAATAATGGCCAAGAAAATTTGGGATGCAAGAAAAGAATCAAAAACAAATCACACTGTCAAATATTAAATAAATTTTTACAATATGTAAGATATTGTGTTGGAATAAGAAAGGAAGATTGATAGAAAAGAACCATGAGAGACAGAGAAAATGGCGGAGTAGGACACTCGTAAGTCACCCTCTCCCACAAATACACCAAGACCCACACCTACAGACCCACTCAGCCAACCAGAGCACCTGCGAAATTCGGACAGAACATCACCCTCTTCAAAAGATCAAGACGCCAAAAATCTGGTAGAAGAAAATGAAAAAAGAAAGAACAAAAGGCAAAGCAGGGTGGGACGGGTCCCACGGGGATGGAGCGGCAAAGGAGGACTGGCGCTCGCATGCTGGGTCTCCCCTTTCCAACTAAGAGGTCAGCAGGATGGAGGGGGAGCCTCCAAGGCTCGGATCTGTACAGAGCAGCCCTTGTCTGATAGAACTAAGTTAAATGGGCACAGAGCATCCCCCCGACACCCAGCCTGAGACACGGGCCGGCAGCGGCGGGCAGGGCCAGGCTGCACAAGCTGGGCGGAGGATGGGGGCAGCTGCATGGAGGCAGCTCCAGGGGACTGAAAGGGGCTGGGCGCTGTGGCTGTGGGTGTACAGGACAGAACAACCTGGGCCCTCCATAAAACAGCAAGGTTGATGTGCTCTCGGGGAAGGGTGCATACCCCCATCTCTGAAAACCCGCGGAAACTTTTCAGGGGAAGAGAGGCGGGGCCCAGGAACAGCCGCCATATTCTATGGTGCTGAGCACCCAGGCAGGGCCGGGGGTGAAACCTGCATCTGCACCGACGGGTTTAGCAGCCTCAAGGGCCAGACTGAGACGGGACTACAGCCCGGGGCAGATAGGATCCTTCCATCCTGGTCCCTCAGAAAACTTGCTCCACAAAGACAAACAAGAAGCTGGGTTTTGGCTCGGAGCAGGGACAAGGCTGTCCCTGGGACTTCCCCGAGCC